TTCTCGTACTGGAGCTGGTGGTGCTGCGGGCGTCGGTGCTACCGAGGGTGCTGGAGCTGGACCCGCTGCGTCTTCTGGTGGTCCGGCTGGAGCTGGAGCTGCTGGGGGTGTTGGCGCTGAGGGTGCCTCTCGTGCTGGTGCCTCTGAGGGTACTGGAGTTGGCGCTGCTGGAGCTGGGGGTGCTGCTGGCGCTGGTGCTGTCGTTCGGGGTGCTGGTGCTGTCCCTTCTGGTGCTGGTGGTGCTGAGCGGCCGCGGCCGTACTTCGTTCCGCTCCTTGAGCAGGTTCTTTGTCTTCCGCCCTCTGCTAGTCCGGCTCCTCCCTTCGAGTGTCCACCGCCTGTCCAGTCCGAGTCACAGTTACAGCCTACCTCTCCTCTGCCTGCTCCTTCGCCCTACACTGGTCCTACTGGAGGTCTTGCTGAGCGTCGTGAGCCTGCGTCTCGTCCTGCGTCGCCTGTCCGTGCTGCTCGCACTAGTAGTCGTGGTTCGCGTCAGCGTCCTCCGCCTGTCCCCGGCACGCACCGGATGTCTCTGCGTCCCTCCACTGCTCCGCTGCGTGCCCCTTTGCCTTCTCCTCCTGAGTCCTCTCTTCCTGTTCTTGCTGACCCGGCGTCGGACTCCCTTCGTGCTGCCAGTCCTACTGTCACGCGTCTCCTTGCTACTATCGTCACTGACCCTTCCTTTGAGTCCGCTGCTGCGTCAGCCTTAGTTTCTGAGCTTGTCGACTTCGCTGCTCGCTGTCGCCTAGACTACGCTACTAGTCTTGTCGCTGAGTCTGAGTCTGTCTGTCCTCCGTCCGTCGGGGGTGAGTGTGCCCTTGGCACGGACGTCCTTGAGGACAGGCAGGAGGAGTTCCAGTGCTTTGCTGCTGCTTCACCTCATCTCGTGTCCATGCTGCTTGCCCCTGAGGGAGACCCGGATGCACCAGACATCCCGACTCCGCGCTCTTACGCGGAGGCGATAGAGGGTCCCTACTCCTCTCAGTGGCAGGCAGCCATGGATGCAGAGATGGCTTCCTGGAAGTCCACAGGCACCTATGTCGACGAGGTTCCCCCTCCTGGGGCGAACATCGTCAATGGCATGTGGATTTTCAGGGTGAAGCGGCCGCCGGGTTCTCCGCCTGTCTTCAAGGCACGCTACGTGGCTCGTGGCTTCAGTCAGCGGCAGGGAGTTGACTACTTTCAGACCTTCTCTCCCACCCCGAAGATGACCACTCTTCGGGTACTGCTGCACATAGCCGCTCACCGGGACTACGAGCTTCACTCTCTTGACTTCAGCACTGCTTTCTTGCAGGGCAGCCTGCACAAGGAGATCTGGCTGCGCCGCCCACCTGGCTTCACTGGGTCTTTTCCTCCTGGTACCCAGTGGAGCCTCCGGCGGCCAGTCTACGGTCTTCGCCAGGCACCTCGTGAGTGGCACGACACACTGAGGACTACACTTGCGGCTCTTGGGTTTGCTCCTTCTACTGCCGACCCGTCGCTGTTTCTGCGCACCGACACTTCTTTGCCGCCGTTCTACATCCTCGTGTACGTCGACGACTTGGTCTTTGCCACAGCTGACACTGCTGGACTCGCCCACGTGAAGTCCGAGCTGCAGAAGAGACACACGTGCACAGACCTGGGTGAACTGCGTAGCTACCTTGGCTTGCAGATCATCCGGGACAGAGCACAGCACACCATTACCCTGACTCAGTCACACATGGTGCAGCAGGTCCTTCAGCGCTTCGGCTTCACGTACTCCTCGCCTCAGGCCACTCCTCTGTCTACTCGCCACTCGCTCTCAGCTCTCCCTTCGGATGAGTCCGTAGAGTCGAGTGGCCCGTACCCAGAGCTTGTTGGCTGCCTCATGTACCTGATGACCTGCACTCGACCTGACCTTGCATACCCTCTTAGCATTCTGGCACGCTATGTTGCTCCTGGGAGACACAGACCAGAGCACATGGCTGCAGCGAAGAGGGTGTTGCGCTACTTGTGCAGTACGTTGGGCATGGGGCTAGTGCTTGGAGGGCGGAGTCCAGTGGTCCTCACTGGTCACGCAGACGCTTCTTGGGCTGACGACCAGGCTACGCAGCGGTCGTCACAGGGTTACACCTTCAGCCTTGGTTCCGGCTCTGTTTCGTGGCGGTCTACCCGCTCGTCTTCTGTTCTCGGCTCCAGTTGTGAGGCTGAGATCTACGCAGGGGCCATGGCTGCACAGGAGCTACGCTGGCTCACCTACCTGCTGACTGACCTAGGAGAGCCGCCTCGTTCTCCACCAGTTCTGTACGTAGACAACAAGGCTATGCTGGCCTTGTGGCGGGAGCACAGACTGGAGCACAGAACGAAGCACATCGCTCTTCGCTACTTCCTTGCTCGTGAGCTTCAGCAGCGCGGTCAGCTGCGCCTTGCTTACGTGGCCTCTGAGGCCAACACTGCTGATATCTTCACCAAGGCACTTGCGCCTTGTGACCATCAGCGCTTCTGTACTCTGTTAGGTCTTGTACCTACCTTGCCTCACTTGCTCACTTCTTGACCTTGCTTGTACTGTTACGTATATATATACCTGCTCTTGCTTGTTTAGCGTTATATATATGTGTGTACTCATGCATGTGAACTGGCCTTGTGGCCTTGAACTTGTGCTCAAAATGTGTGGTGACGTTGTGATCCACCCTGAGCTTGCTTTGCCTTGCTTTGCTTGACTGGTCTTGTGACCCCTTGTTCTCCCCCACTTTGCCTATGGGGGTGTGTCAAACTTATATGATCTAGCCTGTGTAGGCTGTAGCGGGTTAGATACTAAGGGGTACACAATTCTAGGGTTTCATATTTGTATCACTTTCATTCCTTAGTCATCCCATTCTCGTTCTAAGTTTCTCAAACACTAGCTAGAGAATGGGCCAACTAACCCTGGTTAGGTACTACCGGTACTAGCTTTCCTAGAATAAACGAGTCCATTACAGTTTTAGGTCCCAAAAGTGTGGGAAACAATTTGAACGGTTCTGTAATGCAGACTGGTATCAATATCTGGATGACTCCTAGATTGCTAAATCGCACACCACCTTCCATCACCACCTTACTCAAATGCTCACTATGACTACCAGAATAGATGATTTATGTTTAGGATGATGAATTGCGTTGTGAGACCATTTGTTTGGTTGAGCGTGTACGCGCTACAGAGATTTGATGCGTGGTTTGGCCTTGCACCTCTGGTGTGGTTGATCTCTGGCAAGGCAACCCACCTCGCTTAATTTTTGGGGGTTTGAAGCATCGACGGGCCAGATTCTCCTACTGGTGCAAGAAGCTTTGTCAGCAGCTCACGGGAAGCGGGAATCGTGGGACTCCCGCCATTATTTTCGAGACGCCACGCTGCACTTTTGGGGTGTTTGAGTTACAGGGTGGTTTATCCTAGATATTGATATGCGAAAGCTGGAATGGAGAATGTAGGGTGAAAAATGAAACGAATATGGCGTTTGGTTGTGGAGTTAGCTGGGTTAACCATTCGGTGGGTTTCGGTTTCGGTTAGAGCTTCGCTGCCAGGAAAACACTGGGATTTTTGTGACATCGTGTAGTGTCAGGTTCTCTGGCTTGGAACTCTTTGGCGAACCGCGAAATTGTTGCCCTCGCCGCCTTCCCCCTACACACCGCATCGCCCTGCTGAAGCTCCCCAAGGGCACCAGGAACCACCAATGCATCTCGTGCGCGAACTGTGCTCCGACCGCGAAGCGGCTGCCTCGACCTCCTCGACATGATCCCGCTCTCCAATTTCCAACGAATCCCTAGGAGTCAACCAAGACGGTAGAGTTCGGTTCAGTGTGCTCATGGAGCCTCCTGCATGGCTGGACAGATTTCCGTCTGCTCAACGGACACGCGATTGGTTAGGTCTGCGCGACGAGCACCTAATTCTGGCAGTTTCGTGCGGGCATCTCGATTTCTTGCCGTTTGTGTCCGTCAACATGGGTCCTTGGTTGCGCTCGTGCGGTTCGGTCAACCCCCCCGCATACGGCTTTCGGTGGCTTCCGCCGACCCCCGAAGCTCCGCAAGGACGTTTGTGCGCGGGACTTTCAAGAGTCCCTTGATTGCATCTCAGTTCCTGTTCCCCCCGCACCTTCCGCTTGCGGGAACGCGTACCCGATCCCGTTCTATGCCAAGATTTCCGCCAATTGAAGAACTCTCTCAAGTGATTGCGCCTCAAACACCCCGCTCCCCCTTTCCCCTCTCCGCCTCTCCCCGCCCTTCCGCAACACGCTTCCGCAGCACGCCTCACAACCACTGGTACTTCCCACCAAGCTGGCAGTGCTCCTGTCCCCCAACCAAACCCACCTTCCTGCTGGTCACTTTCTCGCAATCCCTGTAATTCCCGAAATTATCAGCGCCCAAGCTCATCCATTGCCATTACAGTATCTCTTGATCTTTAGGTTGCCAGGCTCGAGTTGGGGTTGCACTCGGATTCTCACACGCTGCCCTTACACCGTGTCAGCTACGGCTTTTTTTTTTTTTTTTTTTTTTTTTTTTTTTTTTTTCTGATTTACTGGGAGTCTCTGTTACGCGAACCCAGAAGAGACATCGCCATATATTTCAGATCTCGTTTTCAGAGTCATGGAGAAAGGACGAGACCTGATTTTCCCAGTTCCCATTATTCGACTGCTCCGTCCCGTTTCTTAGACGTCTGAGGTTTTAACGCCGCTAATAGCATCATTCTTCGTTAGTTCAAGCGTTCGTCGTGCCTGGCCGGATCCGGAAGCACTAATCAGGCACCAATCGCTACCAAGTTTCCCAGGATGCAGTTAATAGAAGGCGCATTGTTGACGGATGCAGTCTCCTCATGCGCATCGGCGTGGTGGTGCTCCTCGTGCTCGTCGCTCCTCTGCCATCCTGGTCTCTTCCTCCTCCAACTACAAGCCTCCCTCATCCTCATCGGCCTCGGCATCGCGTGGCTATGGGCTAGCCAGTCGCGCATCAGAGAGACCAGACGGATTCGATCCGCTCAAAAATCAGGGAACCCGTTCGCCTTTGTCGACGTGGAGATGTCGCGGTTGTCGTACGACGAGCAGCGGCAACTACCCAAGGTGTCGGTGGTGTTGGCGGTGAAGGGATCAATAGGGGAAGCCGGCATGGACAACTGGCGGTCGCAGCTGGTGACGCTGTACGGCGGTGCCGTGGAGTATATCTTCTGCGTGGAGAGCGAGGACGACCCTGCGTATTTCGCCGTGCAGAGCTTGCAAAAAGAGATGAAGGGTGTCGTCGATATTCGGCTAGTCGTTGCCGGCCTAGCAACGGCTTGTTCACAACAGATTCACAACCAACTAGCGGGCGCAAAGGTGGCGTGTCCTGAGTCTAAGTACCTGCTATTTTTGGATGACGACATTCAGTGCCATCCAGGGACATTGGGGTCGTTGGTGAAAGCTATGGAGACGCGGCCAGAGGTGTTTTGCTGCACAGGCTACTCCTTCGACATCCCATCGACGCCAAGCATCTCCGCGTATGCCGCGATGGCGTACCGTCTGCCTCTGCTCATCGGCATGTCATCCGGCGGCCCGGCGTTCTTCGTGTGGGGCGGCTGCATCATGCTACGGCTAGCGGATCTGCGCGCGGATCGCAACGGCATGGCGAGCGCACTGCAGCGCAACGGCTACAGCAACGATCTGATTCTCACGTCAGTGGCGGGAGTGCACGGATGCAAGGTGTGGTGCCCTCCCACCGCCATCTTCCCCGGGAGAATGTCCGGCGCGTGGACCTTCCGCCGGTACTGGAACTACGTGCGGCGTCAGATATTCGCTTTGACCACCTACTGCTCCTCGTACGCGTACCGCACCAACCACGTCGGCTGGTTCTTCTACACGTACGCTTCACTGGCCGTCACCATCCCGCTCATCCCCTCGCTCATCCACCTCGTACTCTTCCTCCTCTCCCTCGCGCGGTCCGTCCTCCTCTCCTCCCGGCCGTTGTTGTTACAATCGGGCGTCACCGACGTCGCGACGATCGCGGCGCTTGCGTCTAGCGGGCTGGTGGGCGGCGGGCGGCCGGTGGTGGTGGACGGGAGGACGCTGTGGTGGGAGTGGATGGTGTCGCGCTCGTTCTGCGCCACGGGCCTCGCGTTCTCCCTCGCCCACTTGGCGAGCATCGGCATCTCGGCTCTCCTGGGCACGCGCCTGTTCCACGCCGTCATCACTCTCTGCAACCTGCTCTCCCCGGAAAAGCCGCAGATCCGGTTAAGCAATCTCAGCCTTTCGCTCGGCGTGCTGGGCATGCTGATGAACCTGGCGCTGCTGCCTGTCATCGCGGTGTACACGTACCTACAGCCGGCCATCACGTGGGCTGGCATCAAGTATGTGCGAAGGTCAGGCCTGGTCGCGAAAGTTCGCCATCCGACGCCCCAGTCCGACGCTTTGCCGATAGAGTCGCGAGTGTCGCAGAAGGTGCTGGACCTTGAGATTGCCGGCGGCGGGCTGATTGGAGACGAGTTTGACGGCGGATGCTGGAGCGCGCCGTACGAGAAGCGCGATTGGCTGGTGGAGGCATTGGCGCGGGTGCCGTGGAGCAAGGGGTGGGCGGAGAACATGGAGATGCTGTGCAAGTCGCTGCCGTCCATTCGCACAGCACGAAGCGTGAGCCCCAAATTGAAAAAGTCAGGTTGAAAAGGAATAAGTGCAGGGAGAGGGGGAGATTGAGGGTGGGGAGAGGGATGATCACAAGGGAAATACAACTTTGGAAAGCGAGCTTAGAATATTACATGCGAAGATAAGGCACAGGAAGCGGGATAGTGGATGATGAGCTCCGCGTTGCTCCAGACTCCCCAAGTTTGTCTTTCCATCTCTCCACCACTGATTCCCTTCACCGACCGCCAGCAAGTGAGCTACCGCAGAGTGTGTACAGCAAGGGCGCTCGTAGTGTAGGGGAGTCGATTGAAGCTGAAAGGGGGAAGACTGGTCGAGGAGAAGCAGGGGTCAGCGTGTGAAGAAGGGGGCAGTTGTCATGTCAGAAACCCTGTCAGAGCTGTTAGGTCCTATCAGTCGCCATCGCATTCTGATCCTTGTCCAACCCCCACCTAGAGCTTCCATTGAACTGGCAAACCTCCCCTCATCAGCATCCATTCTCCTCCCTGCCTGCGCCTATGCTTCCCACCACTGCTCATTCATGTCGGCTGTCGCCTTTTCGCCTGCCTGATCACATAACCCATCATTGCTGCTCACCATCCATGTCATGTCATCCGCTCCCACTCCAGTTTGTTCCCCACCCGATGTGTCTTACGTTGCGGCTATGGAGCACTTTGGTGTGCCATGCCATGTCGCACCGACCGGTATTGCCATATTTCTAGGTCCAGGCGCTCAAGGTGCATACTCCAGTGGTGTCTGGTGTAGCGTGCTGTAGGCTATGGCCGCGTAAGGTGCTGGATGGCCAACCTTGTGCCAGGTGTGTGCTTCTGTCTGTCATGTGCCATGTGCCAGTTGCCTTGACCTGGGCACCGATTTCTTGTTAGAACTATCTGATTTCTTTTGTAGGATGACCAGTGGCAGTTGCAGTGACAATTCGTGTCATTGAAATGTGACTGAGTTTAGGATTTCGGGAGGGTGCTTGTACCAATTTTGAACAATTATTACCGTATATGCGTAGGACCAAACAAACAATCTGATAATATGATGTGTCACAAACAATCTGGTTTTTTTCATTGACGGTTGTTGGCATTTAGGACACGTCCCCTCCCTCGATAGATCCTGCTGTCAAACATACCTGCTTAGGTTAATTATCTAGGCTGTGTGGGGTAGCCACTATGGGGTACAACCCCTTGTTCCTACTTTGTACCAAACTTTCTCGATAGTCTCATCATTCCTAGTTACCGTATCGCCCCGGATATAACCGCAGGCCTATGTTAAGCGCATGCGCTTCTATCTGGAGCAATGCGCTTATGGCCGATCCTCAATTAGAAGCGCACCCTCTAAAAAAACCTTACTTATTATAAGCGCACCCTTGCTGTATAGACAAGAATGTCTGTTGTTTTTTTCACTTTCTTTACAACCTTCGTACAAACTACATTACTCTAGCTAAAAATTTCAACTAAAACTTTCAAGTCAAATACATTAGACTAGCATCCTAGCCTACACAACATTTTTAAGTTTAGTCTAGCCTAAGGCCTACTCCTGGTCCGACTCAGGCTCCGTGGAGTTGTTGCCAAAGAACCCGTCTGCTTGGATGTCGTCATCAACCTCTACCTCGTGGGATAGCTGACCTCTCCGGTGCGCCAGCACCAGTCCGTCTTCACTCCCGTCAAGGGCATTGCTGATGCCGCAGGTGAGGAACGCTCTCTTAATCAGGTCGGCGGGCACAGCTTTCCACGCCCGTGAAATCCACTTGAGCACCACCTCCGGAGATGGTTTCTTAATGTTCCCTGCACCACATACACGGGGGTGGGAAACACGTGGGTCCACAAGTAGGCAGACATACAGACGAAGCGGTCACGGGAGAACACTTTTGCGTACCTGCGGGTGTCAGGATGTTCATGCCGTCCTGCTCGAACCAGGTCTGGTACTGCTGCCGAACACTCGCCTTGAAGCTTTTGTTGACCGACACATCGAGCGGCTGCAAGTCTGCCGTGCATCCCGCTGGGATGACCGCCGGCACGATGTTGAGTTCCGCGAACTTCGCCTTGACTTCGGGTGTCAGGTGTCCACGATAGGAGTCGAGCACTAGCATGGCGCTCCGGCTCTGCAATCCGAACTTCGGTTTCAGGAACGGCACCACGCCTGCACCGAGCCACTCGATTACGCCCGAGGCCTCCATCCACCCGTTAGCTTGGCAACCGACCACGACATCTGCATACAAGCAAGCGGTCATTATATTTTACTTTTGTTTTTCCCCTCGGAAACACGCGCATACGCAGTTTCTTACCGTTCGGAAAGTCACCCTTTGGGAGGGTCTTGCGCTTGAAAAACACCCACGGCTTCAACTTCTCGCCCGTCGCCGTGCACGCCAGCATCACAGTGACTCTCTCTTTCTGGTAACCACCACTGCGGATGGGCACCGACTTCACGCCCGTCTGCTCCACCGTGGTAGTCGCCGGCATCTCCAGCCACAAAGGCGTCTGGTCGGCATTGATGATGTAACGATTGTCGATGTCGTAGTCATGGCGTGCGTCGCGGACAAACTGCCAAAATTCCTTGCACTGCTTGGCCACGTCTGCGCACGGGGAGGGAGGAACGGTTACAAGGGCGGATGAGCACCGCTACAGATAAACAAACATGGGCAAGAAAGTACTGAAATACAAGATAAAATTTCACGATAGGATGACAGTGCACGGACAGGCACTTACGCTGCTGTGTCTTTTGCGCCACCTTTGTTTTCATGCGCACGGTGAGATTCCACCGCTTGCGGAACTGCTCCGTCCAGCGCTGACTCGCCTTCCACTTGACGTCCGGGAACAACACTTTCATCACCTCTTTTGACCAGTCTTGCAGCCGGCCGACTGATACTGCCACACCGCGGCGTCGCCAGTCCAGGAGTTGGGCGTACACCTTCATCTCCATGGGTCTGTACCAGGAAGACCTTCCGCGCCCATGAAGTCGACACCGAGCACTGTGTGCAGCCTTGAGCTCCTCCGCTTGGTTTTTCCACTCTGTGAGGCATTTGCGGTGTATGCCGGACTCCCGCGCGACCTCGCTTATCGATGCAGCAAGCTCCAGCCGAACGAGCCACTTCAGTTTCTCCTGGGCGGTGTAGCGCTGCCGTTTGTGTTGAGTCGGCTTGTGCCTGGGAGAGGGGGGGCGGGCATCTCGGTTCTCAGAGGAGGGGTGGGGTCGTTTTTTGTTAATCGACGGATACGTTGGTATCGGCATCTTCTCGCGTGGTGCGTCGCGCCACCAAGACTCCACACCGTCGTCGTCCGCGTCTGTAGCTTCACGATCTGGGAACACGTCCTCCTCGGCGCCCTCTTCACCGTTGATTCCACCGTTGCCTCCAGCATCGCCGTCGCATGTGGGTTGTTTATCGGCGGCCACGTCATCGTCGGCGCCCACAGCCGACTCGTCCCACGTGCAGGCTTCAGGATTTCCCCACCGAGGTGCAGTCGGCGGACCATTGATTTGCCTAGCCTTGGGTGTGTCCGGTTCAGACAACCACTCGTCGAAAGTGGCAGGCAAATATAATTGGAGCACGGGCCGATGGTGACCCCACGCGTCAGGAACAGGAGGAGTCGGAGGATTCGGAGGAGCGGGAGGAGCAGGAGGAGCAGGAGGTGCAGGAGGAGCAGGCGGAGCAGGCGGTGCAGGGGGTGTAGGTGGCACTGGAGGCGCTGGTGGCTCACGTGTATACCACCCGTCCGAGGTTAGTCGCCAGGCGCGGGTTGGTTTCTTCTTGAAAAGGAGGTGCGTCCCACTGAATTCCGCCATGGCTTTGCCAGCCAGGCGGGCTAGACTAGAAACTGAATGAAAAAAATGAGGAGGAGGGTGCAGAAATGTGCAACGACGGGGACCCCTGCGGGCTAGCGGCTCGGGGTCCTCGTCAATGACAGGCAGGAAACCCCCGCCTACCCCCGTAGAGGAACCTGCGTGGCAGCATATTCGCTGCGCTGGCAGGGAATCTTCCCCACCCTTCGAGAGGGTTCGGAAGAAATGCAGATGCCACGCAGCGCATGCGGCTGTGATTGGGCCGCACGGCAACATCCCCGTCACTCCTGTCACGTTCGATGGTTCTAGACAACTTTGTGCGGTGGGAAACCGAACCGCAGCTGTTTTTGCCTGAAAACCATGCACGATCCCACTTGTTGCATGGTCCGTTGGATTCGCCTTATTGCGGGCTTCAGTTTAGTATGTTTAAAAGTGAATTTCATTTTTTCCTTATTATAGGCGCATGCGCGTATACAGACACCTCAATTAGAAGCGCACCCCCCAAAAAACACTGTTTTATTATAAGCGCACCTGCGCTTTTATCCGGGGTAATACGGTACCTATTCTAACATGGTATTAAGAGCAATAGGTCCTTAGGACTTAAGGAGCGTTTTTTTTCGGGCCCACCACCTACCACTTGCGGTTACCGAGCTACCCCGAGCCCTGCACTGCCCTAGCCCCGCGCACGTCCCGCTAGCAGCCCGTGCGGCCCGCGAGTCGCCCATTAGTAGCCCGCGCGACCCGCTAGTCGCCTCTGCTGACCCGCGCGCTGTCAGAACATTATATAGCTTATGCTGTTGTGTAGGCTATAGTGGGGTATCCCATAGGGGGTACAACCCAATTAGGGTTTTACATATGTACTCACCTCATTCATAGTTCATCCACTCTCGTTCTTCATTCTTCTCATGGTATCGAGCAGGTTCCCTCGTGGGAACTGTTCCTAGGGCCCACCGTTTTTTTTTCCTGCCCGGAGCGCACTCTGCCCCTACCCGAGTCGCGCTCCCCTCTCTCTTGGCCCCTAGTGGCCCCTTTAGCCGCCCGTCACGGCCCTTAGACGCCCGCGCGCCGCCCGTCCCGGCCCCTTAGACGCCCGCGCGCCGCCCGTCAAGGCCCCCTAGACGCCCGTGCGCCACCCGGCCCGGCCCCTAGACGCCCGCGCGCCGCCCGGCCCGGCCCCTAGACGCCCGCGCGCCGCCCGTCCCGACCCCTAGACGCCCGCGCGCCGCCCGTCCCGGCCCCTAGACGCCCGCGCGCCGCCCGTCCCGGCCCCTAGACGCCCGCGCGCCGCCCGTCCCGGCCCCTAGACGCCCGCGCGCCGCTCGTCCCGGCCCCTCGACGCCCACGCGCCGTTCGTCCCGGCCCCTCGACGCCCACGCGCCGCCCGTCCCGGCCCCTAGACGCCCGCGCGCCACCCGTCCCGGCCCCTCGACGCCCGCGCGCCGCCCGTCCCGGCCCCTCGACGCCCGCGCGCCGCCCGTCCCGGCCCCACGCCGCCCGTGCGCCGCCCGTCCCAGCCGCGCGCCACCGTCTCGGTCCCCACGCCGCCTGTGCCGCTGAGGAGCTGAGCCGCCCGAGCCGCCCGAGCCGCCCGCACCGCCCGAGCAGCCCGAGCCGTGCTGCCCCTCAGCAGCACAACCGAGCCGCCCGACAGCAGAGCAGCCGAGCCGCCCAGCAGCCGAGCCGCTCAACAGCCGAGCCGCCCAGCAGCCGAGCCGCCCAGCAGCCGTGCCGCCCAGCAGCGGAGCCGCCGAGCCGCCCGACAGCCGAGCCGCCGAGCCGCCGCGCCGCCCTCCTTCCGGGCCGCCCGACCTGTCCAGTCTGGTGAGCACAGCGCCCTTTCACTGCACTGCCCTCACCCTACTGTTTGCGCTGCCAGTCGTCTAGGGTCATGGCTACCCCTAGTGTTCTAGTCTTTGACGCTGAGGGTCGGGCCATTGACTTTGAGGTCTGGGTGGATGACCTGCAGCTGTTCTTACAGTGCGATAGGGCAGATGGTCTCTCTCTCTTTGACCTCACCTCTGGCGCCTCCACTGCCCCTGCTGCTGACGCCGACGCCACTGTTCGCTCCCAGTGGGCCACGCGCGACGCTGCTGCACGTCTT